TTCAAGTTTCAGGATGGTCGCCATCTCACGCCGAACGACATCAATGCTGTCCTACACAAAGTGCTAGGTCCAAGCATCAGCAGCCATTCCTTACGCGCCGGGGGAGCCACACACATGGTGGATCGAGGCGCACCAGAGTATGCCCTGATGGCTGCAGGCCGCTGGTCCAGCAGGGCATATCGCACGTACATTCTCAGGCCCGCAGGCATGCCACAGCACTACTAGAGCCTGCGTGTCGCAAGCCATTCGGTACCTTTATTGGAGGTACGGGTGCTGCTGATGGGCGCCGCATATTGCACGCACATCGGCACCATTGAACTATTCATGTGTACTAAGATTTAGTATTCCGCTGCCATAGCAACCTAGTAGTACACGTAGCCGTTCTGACGGCGCAGGACCCCGCGGGTCGCTTCTGCTGTCCTTGCCTCTCTGATGTGTGATATGTGTACATCATTTATAATCATGACCTCATACTGAGTACATGTACGTCATACTTGATTACCGATCACAGGCTCATGATTATTCACGCTGGAATAAACGCTTGCGACACCCCACAGGCTCGTCTCTGTTGTGTGGCATGATGGTTAACTGTCACTTGTCACGTGTCACTTGCAACTGAGTACCTAGACCTACAACTAACCTACAAGTACAAGTAGTACTGTTCAGTGGTCATGTACATGTGAATTCTGTACTAACTCTTACAGTTCTAGTCCATGTCAGCTCACAGCCTCACAGCCACAGCGTACCAGGGCTAGGGACTTCCCCTATCTAGCCGGCCCTGCTACATTTGTATGTGTCTAGCTCCTCCACTGCACACGTACAATGTCTACAATAGTCATGCAGTCTGTCACGTGATCACTACTATCATGCAGCACCTGCTTGATCCATTATGGATCACCGGTGTGATTCACCGCTAGCGCTGTAATCTGGAGACAGAGCCTCTCAGAGGGATTATTTTTTTAGTGAGTGTGCACCTTCAGTAATTAAATACTGAAGGTGCACTCACTAAAAAAATAATCCCTCTGAGACTCTTGGTGTCAACAAATTTTGTTGACACCAAGAGTCAATGACTGTCACATGACAAATCCGAAGTGGCATGTGTGCACAGCCACACGGCTGTTACGACACTCGACAGTACAAAACGGGCCCACTTGGTTCTTGTACAGGAGATAGCTAGCCAGTGCTCGCTGGGTCGCTGCTGTTACGATCACGTGAGTCAAGCAGTTCGCGCCCTGCACAAGTTCACCTGTCTGGCGCCACGGACCTTGCCGTGCTGGGCAATGATTTTTTATCACAGGGGGGAGGAATGGTCGGATACACAGCCTCGTTTACTAGTAAAATAAGAACAACGAATGTAGCGGAGGATACACACAGTGTGCTGACAGTGATCCACACGGCGAAGGCAGAGTGTAATACTAATACTGTAATAGAGGACAAGAGAGGCAATCACGACTTGTTTGCTGATACATGTACAGGTGCATGTAGTTAAAGTTTATTCATTTGCTTTCACTATCATCAGGCAACGCTGCCTGGTGATAGTGAAAGCAAATGAATAGGCGACGAGGAAACAATAACTTTATGAGAGCGATAAATAGTATAATTGAAGCGGACATTAGGAAATGATCAATGAGAATACATGTACATGTATGTTAGAAAAGAGAGAGATTGGAAGATTTGTTACAACTCTGAGTTTCACCTATTACTACCATCATCAGACAACTGATGGATCCAAAACGGGCAGACAGAACATAAGGGGGAGCAAGGTGGGAAATTCTGAGGGGTATCATAGGCGACGCGTATCATAGCGCAAGAGTCAGGTGCAGGCGTGAAGTTGCCAAGTCTTCAGACTTGGGGCTATGCAGCAGCAGCAGTTCCGTCACGAATGAGAATAGAGCTGGGGACTTTTAAAATGCCAAATCCACACATGCCAACACCATTACACACACATACACCCACACTCTCTCCCTTTTCTCACATACACATACACTCGCACGCGCATACACGCACGCACACACATACACACATTCTCTACACATATCTCTCTCTCCCATACACACACACACACGCACGCACACATGCATTCTCTAAATCCCCCCCCCCCCCCCCCTCAGACCTCAGACCTTCCCATCGCGGAAGCGATGATAGCGAACAGCTACATTGTATGTTAGACATAGCAACTTGTGCTGGGATTACACCATTCAACAGCTTGCAAGGCTGATGAATTGACCCCCACTATTTTAGCCTGGTATCCACCACACAGCTGATTGAAGTGACTTTTTCTGGCCAGTAAATCCCTATTTTTCATTTTTCCACCCCCTAGACGCACACACATTCTCTAAATCTCACACACCATGTACCCAAACACACACACACACTAATTCTCCAAATCTCACACACACATTCTCTCTCTCTCTCTCTCTTTCTCTCTCTCACACACACACACACACACACACACACACACACACACACACACACACACACCATGTAACCATGTATACGCCCGTCGCAAGAGAAGCACGCAAATCTGCAAATGCCCTGGATGTGCACCCACAGATTTTCTCTTATAGCAATGATAGCGAACAAGATCAGAATGAGACAGATCAATACTTGCGCCAGATAACTGTCTAATTGACCGTATGCGTGTTAAAACAAAATGGCGTCACGATTTATTGAAAGTGGTATAGTTGGTGGTACGAGTGTTCAAACCCATTTGAACTTCATACTGTTCGTCTTCTTTTTGACATGCTCTCTTTCCATCGTCCTTAGCTTTTGTTTGTTGTGAGCTGTTTTAGCTTTATCCTATACCTCTGGGAGATGCCAAGTGATGGTTCTGAGAGGCTGGTGATGGCTGCGAGCGAGAGTTTGCCGATCGCCATCGTCCTCGCTATAGCGATGAAAATACTAGTTACTGCGCACCTGGCAGATATCACAACACGTCGGAGCGTCCAGGAGCAAAGGAATCTTGGGTTTTCACTGGAATCTAGTTCCTCCAGCATCGTATAACCAACCATCGATGGATGACCGTCCAGAAACGTTGAACCTGGTCTTATGCAGCATCTCGCAGTCCCATTCAACAGCTTCCAAGGCTGAAGAATTGGCCACCACTATTCAGCCTGGTCTACACAACACAGCTATGAAGTGGCTTTTTCTGGCCAGTGAATCCCTGCTTTTTGGTCTTTTTTATTTTTATTTATTCACACGCACACTCACACACCTTGACCTTGATCTTGATCTTGCCCATTGCGTACGCAATGATAGCGAATGTCGGAAAGTTCAAGTGAGAACACGCGCGCAGAACTTGGCATGTCGTTTCAGGTCTCCTGGTCGACGAAATGGGCGTCCACAGACACATAGAAGAGGATCAGGAGCGGGCCGTGGCGGTGGGGTGCTACTCGCAACTCGTCTCCAGCCGGGACGATCTTGGCAACTCTCAAGCCAGACACACACACACACACACCTGATCCTGGTCCTGTTAAACACTGCCATTACGGTCACGTGTCCCTTTACGGGGCGGGGCCGACAATATAGAACGACGAGCGGGACCATGTTCGAGAGAGCCATCTCCAGCAGCTATGGATTTGGCTTATCATCGGAAACGATTCCTCTCACGGCTGCCGCTAGAACTGGTCCATCACTCTCCACAACAGAGCGAACATTCCATGAGCCAACGCTCAGAGTCGTTCCAAGTCGTCATCTTCGTGCGGTAGTTTGCTCAACTCGCGGGCTTGCACACACACACACACACACACACACACACACACACACACACACACACACACACACACACACACACACACACACACACACCTGTCCTGTCCTTTTGTCCTGTTGAGCCACTGCCATGAAGGTTACTTGGACCCCGGAGGAGCAGCTGAGAGAGAGGAGGAGCACACAGCCCTGTGACGATCCAGGTGATGCGGTAAGCGAAATCGGCGGGAGCAGGCGCAAACACATGTGTAACCCTCACGGTCCTGAACGGTCGGACGACTACAAGTCCCTGAGCAGCGATGACGGGCGCGGTCACGTGTAGACGCAAAGCAGCGGTCACAAGCCTGGCAGTGAGCGACGCAGCACAGCGGAGAAGCAGGCAGCGGCAGGGGCGCACCGACGGCTGACTGGGGGTAAATACACTTGTGCCTTGCCAGACCTCCACGGGACTTCAGCCAACGTCCACACTCTCCAGACTGGCATGCACCATCCATCCTTCAGCACATTTAAATCTGCCAGGTCGAAGGCACGCTCGGCTATTGATGCAGCCCGGGTGAAGTGGATAGAAAGCAAGGCGCTAGCGGCTACAGAGTCACGTTTTAACCCAGCTATTATAATTATGAAAGTGCATTCACGATCTCCAAGCTGCAGGGGAAGGTTTGAAACCGGCTCGGACAACCGCAGTCGTGGATGAAAGCGAAAATCTATGCACGTCACCAGAAGAGCAGGGTCACCGTTTTCGTAGACATTTCTCTGGAGTGCTGAACATCCATAGCACATGGTCACCTAGTGCGCTGGACTCCATCCCACAACTGCCGGTAGACCAAGATCTTGCTAGTCCCCCGACACTGGAGGAAGCTCCAGAGCGGTGTTAGTGTATGCACTTGTTCTGACTGATTCTGTGGTGATAATGACATCACAACTCCGCATTACACTCGTTATTACATGTGGACGGCGTGCGGACGTCCTGCTGCATGTATGTGTTTATCTGTATGATGTGGTCCACTGGACGTCGTGCGGACGTCCTGCTGCATGCAGAGCGTGCGCAGCGAGGGAGTGGCTCCTTGCTCGGACACCTTTGGGTTTCTGTTTTGAACTCGACCCGTACTCATGGTAGTTTGATTTGTTTTGTTCATGTTAGTCCTCACAATAATGTATTTCAACTAAAGTACTTATTCCAAGAAGCCGGTGTGCGTTGGTGTACAGTGTCAGGGGTGGTTTCCCCACAGCGTGGTGCCGAAACGCGGGAGTTCGGAGTGCCACGGGGACTGAGGTACATTGTATTTGTGGCGATGAATTTGGGTTCCTACCTGAAGCCGTTCCGCGGAGGTCGAGAAGACCTGGAGACATTCTGGTCTAAGTTTGAAGTCGTTGCAAAGATCAACAAGTGGGATGAGGGCGGAAGCTCCAAGATGACCTACTTGCCGTTGTTGTTGGACGACAAGGCGTCGCTGGTGTTTAGTCAGATGTCGGAGAATGATCGAAAGGATGCTGACATAGTCAAGAAACGTTTGGAAGAATCTTTCAAGCCAACTCCCGCACAAGCGTACAAGCAGTGCGGGACGCGAGTGCTGCGCGGTGATGAGTCGGTGGATGCCTTCGTGGCTGATTTGCGGCGTCTCTTGACATTGTCGGGGCATAAGTTGGACGCAGATGACAAAGATCCGATTCTGATGGAGCAGTTCATCAAAGGCGTCGACGGTGAGACGCAGAGGCACATTCGCATGGCGCAAGCTGGTGCAACAATGACTGTAACGGAGTGTGTCGCGAAAGTTAGGGCCTTGAGGTAAGTCTGGGGCATCAAGCTAGTGCCTGTGAGAGCAGCTACTGCAGCTGGTGAAGGCAGCAGAGCTTGCTACAACTGTGGCGAAGTTGGTCACCTCCGAGCAAGGTGCCCCAAGACTGGCGTCAAGTGCTTCAACTGCCATAAGTTTGGGCACAGGAAAGCAGACTGCCCCAAGAAAAGGAGTGGCAGCAGCAAGGCAGTTGGTGCAGCTTCATCGGACAAGTCTAGGAAGAAAGCTCCGTGCCTGGCGGTGCAGCAGTCTCCAAGCTCGGACGTGCTTCTGGTGTATGTCAATGTCAGCACTCGTGCAGAACAGGACCAGTGGAGGCGAAAGCGTGCCGCGGTGGATACTGGTGCAGCACGGTCACTTATCTCAAGTGCTGCAGTGGATGATCTTGGCGTTTTGAGTGACGTCAAGCCGACCACCGAGAGCCTCGTGCACGTGGCGATTGATGGGTCCGATTCGCTGCTGAAGGGCTCCATTGACCTGAATGTCCGCCGGTTGGATGGACCCGTCCATCTTCCTCTCACTATGGTGTCGTTTCTTGTCGTGGAACACCTGGACGTAGTGTCTGCTGACGTCATCATTGGATCGGACACCATCCAGACGCTGGGCGGTGTCACTATGAAGTGCGACCAAGGGAAATGGTCATCGGTTGTGTTTGGCCAGGGTGCTGTGGTGACTGGCGTTAGCAAAGCCAAGAAGATGCCGCGTGGGGTCCAGGTGGCCAGAAACGGCCAGGACGGTACCCTCGAGCTTGGTGACGCAGTGGTTCGCTGGAAGGAGAGCTGTCGCTTCTGGGAGGTTGAGTGGAAGTGGACGGACAAGAGTCCTGCTCACCTAGGCTCTGGCATTGGCGAATACTCCCGCTGCAAGCTGTCTGCTGATCAAGTCAAACATTACGAGGCGGAAGTAGACGCGTGGATAGAGAATGGATGGTTTACTCCACATGATGTGACGGTTCACGGGCCAGTTGGCGCAGTGTTACCATTAATAGCTGTCTGCCAGGAGCACAAAGCCAGCACGCCTGTTCGTCCCGTTATGGACTACCGGGACCACAACAAGGCAATTGACTCAAACCCCGGTCCAGATGTGCCGTCGTGTGATCAGAAGCTGCCAGATTGGCGCCTCCGGGGCCAGGAGCAGGTGATCGTGGACATCTGCAAGGCCTATCTTCAAGTCTGGCTGCATCCATCGCTACTTCGCTATCAGGCTGTGGTGTGGCCAGAGAAACTGTACGTCATGACGCGTATGGGTTTCGGTCTGGCAGTTTCGCCGAAGGTCATGAACGCCATTGTCAAGTTTGCGACGCTTGACTTTCCGCAAGTCGACAATTATGTCGACGACTTCTTTATGCCTGAGGAGGAAGCAGAGGCGGTGAAGTCCAAGTTGGAACACTATTAATAAAATAATATAGTATGGTCTGCCAACTAAACCTGCAGAACCATTGGCTCAGGCGCGGGTGCTTGGGTTGCAAGTGAGCAAGCGTGACGGCAACCTGGTGTGGAAACGACGTGACGGCGTCTCGTTGTCGTGTCCGAAGAATCCGACGAAGCGGGAGATCTCGAAGTGGTGTGGTGCCCTGACTGCTCACTACCCGGTCTGCAAGTGGCTTCGACCGGCGGCCAGTTTCTTGAAACGTATGGCGAACTTGTCAACCGACGGGTGGGACGACGCTGTTCCAGACTGTGTCGCTACTCCAAGACAGCACACAGTTGGTTGGTCTCTATGCTACAGGATGTCGAGCGAGTGAAAGTTGGCGGCCTCCACGAGCTTCTCGTGCGGAGGAGAGTGCAGATCATCCAAGAAATTGTCGAAGTCGCTGGGATGGAGGTGATAGTCGCCTGGGTACCATCTGCAGAGAACCGAGCAGACGAGCTGACCCGTGTTCCAGCTACATGGCTGGCATGTGCCAAGATCCTCAAGAAGGCAGAAGTACCCGGAGCAGCTAGTGTCGCCCTGGTGATGTCCAGCCAAGGCCCACTCTCACCAACAGTGATTAAAGAGTCACAGCAAGAAGATGAGACAATGCAACAGGCTATGGCTGGCCAGTTGAAGGATGATGGTCGAATGCCCGATGAGTATGCAGATATGCAGTCCCAACTGCAAGTCGCCGATGGCATCCTGATGCGAAGTGTGAAGGTACCACCGAATGAAATGGTTGTGGTGCCCCTGTCATCCCAGGCAAGCTGGAGATGGCAGTGATGAAGAAGACTCATGGTATGACTGGACACGCTGGGTACGAGTGTATGTACCGAATGCCGCGCAGCCGATACTATTTCGTGAAGATGGCCACCAAGTGTCAGTCGTATGTGAGCAATTGTAACATGTACCTGGCCGTTCGACATCCCTGGTACCCTGGTACCTGGTGCCCATAATCATAGAAACATGACGCGAAAGTGTTGCACGAATTATCTAGAGCATTTCAACATTCTGCCCGACAGTCAATATTGCTTTCGGCAAGGAAGAGGCACGGTGGACATAGCAGGAGCATTTGATCGGGTATCACACTCTGGACTGATTTTCAAAGCCAAGAACGTTGGCATTGGCGGCTGCCTGCTACACTGGCTGCAGTATTACCTCCTCAACGTTCTTGAGTGCAAGATATCCACACATACAGAACGGAACGTGTTGTACTGTAATAATACCCTCGCACTTACACCATTTTCGCCTTCTTGCACAATATTATACTTTTGTCCTATGTCTTCTTTCGGCTCCAGCATGTTGTATTTCTTTACCTAATTTTCCTAGGAATGAGTTTTTTAAACATTTAATGCTAGGAGCTTGTGCAACAAAATGGACGAGCTCATACCCACTATCACACGCATCACGCCCACACTAATTGCTGTCTGCGAAACATGGGCAAACCCCATGGAGCCAGACTCATTCTATGACATTCCAGATTACACACTCTACAGACAGGACAGAACAGAAACGATGGGTGTAGGTGTTGCTTTATACATACATGCCCCTACCTGCCACAAACGCCTAACAACAGTCGTCATGCCAAGCTTCCAGTCACTGTGGGTAGAGCTTACACTCTCAGATCGTACAGTCACCGTGGGATGCACGTATCGACCACCAAACTCTGATCCGAATTTATTCTGCCGTGAACTTGAATTGTGTCTCGGGAAATGTAACACCACAGCGCCATTCATCCTCCTCGGCGACCTAAATTCCAAGAACAGCTCTTGGTTGGATTTTGATGTCACAGACAGAGCTGGTGACGCACTTAGCTATCTTATCGATGCATATGGTTCCATCAGCATGTAAACTTTGCCACCCACATCTGCCGAGGCTATCTAAATTCGTGCCTCGATCTAGTCATCTCCAATCCCCCTCCGGAGGAGGTCACACTTTCTTCCAGAGCACCGTTTGGGTGTTCAGATCACGTAGCAATCCAGAGAACTATCTCCATGCAGCCACCAGCAGATGAGCGTGGCAGACGTAACCTGCCACCTTGGACCTGGAACTGGAATTCAGAGAACGTTGGCGCCCTGAGAGAAGCGCTAGCGTATACTCAACTCCTGCCACCTGACATTGACTTGCCATCATATTCGCTGACCGAACTGTGGTCGCTCTGGCGTGACACTCTGCTTCGCACCGCACACCAGTTCTGCACTCAACTCCGGTTGACTAGATCATCTGCAGTGTCTCAAAAACGCCCATGGATGACGCCTGCTCTGCTAAATAATATCCGTACAAAGCACAGGTTATACAGGAAATACCTCCGGACACGGACGGCTGAAGACTGGGACCAGTTCCCAACTCAGCGAAACAAGACAACAACTCTTCTCCGCAGCGCCAAGTCCAAATTCGTTCATAAATCAGCCAATGCCGACAACCACTGTGACCAAACCCATACAAACCGCCCAAACCTCTACAAACTTATGAAGACCCTTCGAATTTCACCAAGAAAGGAAATGCCAGCTTTGAACCATGATGGCAGAAAGCTCACATCGAACTTAGAGCAGGCAGAAGCATTCAACAGCTTCTTCATTTCAGAAAGCAAGAAGTCCGTCTCAGTTGACAACGAGCCAGTCCCCGACATCCTTCTACCAACATCCGGCGAGAGAGAGCTTGCCCAAATCACCACCACACCCGCCGAGGTAGAACAGCTCTTAGGAGCCCTTCATCCTTTCAAAGCCCCTGGGTTTGACGACATCCCAACAAGACTCCTCAAGACCACGGCGCGTGAGCTGTCGCCGTCACTCTCCCGACTTTTCAATGAGTCATTTCGGAGAGGTGAACAACCACAGAACTGGCGTGATGCCACTGTGAGCCCACTATACAAGAAAGCCGAACGGTCATTGGTAACAAACTACAGGCTTATATCACTTCTGAGCGTTATCAGTAAAGTGCAGGAGAGGATCGTCCACAAGCGACTCTACAAGCACGTCACACCCTTCCTCCCAGTGGATCAATCCGGTTTTCGTGCCAATGATAGCACCGAACTCCAGCTCGCCAGACTCGTGCACGAGGTTTCCGAGAGCCGAGATAAAGGTCTTTCCGTCACAGCTTGCTTTTTTGATCTCTCGAAGGCTTTCGACAGAGTCTGGCACGCCGGTCTCCTCAAGAAACTGCAACACCTCGGCCTGAAAGATACCGCCCTGCAATGGATGGTCAGCTACCTCACCCATCGCCGTCAACGTGTTCGTGTCGGCGACGCCTTCAGTGAGTGGCAAGCCATACCAGCAGGGGTGCCCCAAGGATCCGTTCTAGGCCCCCTGCTGTTCTTGATCTACACCATTGACCTGCCCTCTGCCTGCACCAACTCGAACACAAAGTGCAGCCAATTTGCAGATGACACGGCGCTCATCGCAACACACCAGAGCCGTTTGACATCGGAGTTGTCCCTGCCGTCAGCCGTTTCAGCTGCCGCAACCTGGCTGCGCAGATGGCACCTCCTCGTCAATGCCTCAAAGACCGTTACCTTGTCGTTCACACCAAACCACCAACTGAACATCACTCTTAATGGCACACCCCTAAAGCAAGTCAAAGAACACCGTCACCTTGGAATCATACTACAAAACAACCTCCAATGGAACTCACATGTCACGCACATAATAAACAAATCCAAAAAACTCCTTCACCAACTTCGTAAAACACGAGGCCAACTTAACACCCTCAGTCTGCTCGTAATCTACACCGCCTACATTCGCCCGGTTATAGAGTACGGCAGTCTCGTGTTATCCAACACCACCCGCACACAGAAGGACAAATTAGAACGCGTTCAGCGACGAGCAGCCCGTATCTGCCTGCGGATCCCCCTTTTTGCACCAGTCCATCACAGCTCACTTCTTCATCATCTCCAACACCCCACATTAGTCTCCCGGCAACTCTTACGACAGGTTACTCTTGCCCACAACATCAAGTACATCCGCGCTCCCCTTCACCTGCAACAGGCTCACCTTGCACGACCTATCACAGAGCAGCCATATGCACTACGACACATGAGAACATACACATTGAGAACATCACACACATACCGACACACCAACTCACCCATCAACCTATCCCTTCACAATTTCAACCAACTACCCCCCGACCTGCGTGAAACAAATAGCAAGCATGCGTTTAAATCAATGGCGTCTAGCCTCATTCTATCATCCATATGCTCCTGTAGTAGCTCACACTGTACCCCATCGTGACCCCATCCCCCTGCAATGTGTTGGTTTCCTTACTTGCTAGACTGATTTTATATGATTCTGGACTGATTTGAATCATATTATCTTCCTTATTGGCCATGGGCCATCGTGGAAATATAGAATAATTTTAACCCTCTACTGCCTCATCCGCACGCAGGACAATATGAATGACATGACTGCCGCCTTGCAATCCAGCCTCAAGCGTCTTGAAGAGTGTGGAGAACGCTGGCGCATCAGATTCGAACCCTCTAAATCGCAACAGCTGCTGATGACTGCGAAAGCCACACACCCTGTTGTCCCTGACATCAAGTTTGGAGGTATCGCGGTTCCAGAAGCCGACACCATCAAGCTTCTTGGAGTGACATTTGACGCCAAGCTGTGATTCCGGGATCACTTGCACTCAATTGCGACACGTGGCTGCCAGAGACTGGGTGTTCTCTGTCGGGCTTGCCGGATGTTAGATTACCATGGCCGCCTTTGTGCGTACAAGGGATTTGTGCGACCCATCCTTGAGTATGCTCCCCTTGTGTGGATGGGAGCTGCATCCAGCCACCTCGCCCGACTCAACGTGTGCAGTAACGTGCAATGGCCATTATTGGCCCTGGTGCCCTTCTCCAAAGCCTGTACCACCGCCGGATTGTATCTGGGCTGGTATACCTGTACAATCTCCAGTGCATGTCAGGACCACCCCAGCTCACCGCCATGATCCCCCCTCCAGCCAACCATGTAGAAGCTCGGCGCACCCGGAGTCAACCCTCTCCTGGCCAGCAGCACCATGTGCAGCTGCAGCAAGTCCTGGACAGGAGAGCACCTGCCTATGCTTCTCGCTCCTTCCCGTTTTCTGTAATCTCAGTATGGAACAGCTTGCCAAGAGAAATTGTAAGGGCTTCACTCGGCTTGAAGCGGCTCCACACGTTCAAAGAAGATGTCCATAAGTACCTCACGCACCGACACTGGCTGATGGCTACCGACTTCTACGGATGAACTCTTGACTGTGGCAAGGGTCATGTCCCTTGGTTCGGCTATGCTGATGATATTGGGCTTCATTTACCTTTTATTATTAGTTTGTTTTGTTTGTTATGATTTCTTGGTTTTCCACCCGGTTTAGTTATAATTTAGATTATTATTTGGTGCAGCTTTAGCGCTATGTGGTTTATGATTTCCCTTTTTCTTAATTTCGTGTTTTGCGCTTTTGGGCGTCATTATTTTCTTCTCATTATTTCGTACCAAGTTATTATTTCTGTCACACCGGGTATTCTCTAGCTTCTGTTTGTTTTGCAGTTGTTCTTGTGCACCCCCCCACCCCACCCATTTTTCGATGCCTAGTTGCAACGCTGACGCCGAGACCTCTGGTCGGTTGAGTTGCTCCCATCACATCAGCACGTCGTCCCTACATCCCCTACGTTTTGTCCTTTTCCTTGTTTCTTTTTGTTCTCCACCTGTTTTCCAGTAGGGCTGTGTCAATAGTAAAAAACAAAAAACAAAAACAAAAAACGCACTCAGTCCATGTACATGTACATGTATGATTGTCAGTCGTGCAAGCTGACAAAGCGCCATCACGTGATTGTGTTGTGTGGTGCGTGAGAAGAACAGGACGTAAAGCATGTGTGACTAGCTGTAATCCTGGACTAGATCACATACATGACTACATGTCTGGGAATATGCTGGTTGAAAGAACAAACAACAACAACCACTCCTAGTCATCAGGATCATCCTAAATAAATCATTGACACAGACGGTAAAGAGAACAAGTTGCCCAAACACTGCCATCAGAATCAAAAAATTACTTGCCTCCGTGTTCGATTTAAAAAAGCATTGAGAACAAAAAGAAGTATTGACACATTTGAAATTCAGAGTTGCTTTAGAAAACGTATTCATACCGTAGTCATACATGTATCTCTCATCCCAGGTTAGAGTTTGGCAGTACTAGCACTCATTGGACAGTGTGATGGAATTAGAATTCATTGTTTTTCAGCCGATTGCAAACAAACTGTCTGAAAACTGACGAGTGGATAGTTTTCAGCCGACTAGGTTGTCTACGGCTGGGGATGGGGGGGGGGAGGGGAGGGGGGGGGGGAGGGGAGGGGGGGGGATAATCAAACCCCTTGGTAAAAGCTAACCCTACTCTGGATGTCTGGGTAACTTTTCATATTCCTTGTGCAGAATATGCCATTGGAATTGTGTGTTGCTCTCTAATGTGGGAGCTCGCGCTTTTCCTGCCGACTTGAATTCCCACTACGGTGTTCTGGTGTTCACGAAGTGTTCGTCGCGCTGGAAACGGAGCGTCTCTGTAAGTTTGTATCCCTGGTGATGTTAGTGCCTGGAGAGCACTCTAACGTTATAAGTGATGCTCTTCAGGCACAATCTTCCTCAGCCTACTCAAGCCCAACTGATGAGGGGGGATTCCCCCAAACACACTGTGTATTTTTTGTTGTTGAAAACCACAAACCTTCAGACATGTGAATGTGCACATGATATACAGTGTACATACGTATGTATCGAGAAGGCAGCACAGAAACGGCAGTGGTGGTGGGACCTGGGCAGCTCGTCCAACCGTGGGTCTCGGAGTGAACACTGGGCAGACGTACCGGGAGGGGCAGGGGAGGGGGGGGGGGGGGTGGGGGTAGTAGCTTAGGAGATAAGGGATGGAACCAGCGTGATCATACTATGTAATGCATATGCAGAAGTACTATATAAATCTTAAAAACAATGTGTGTGGCGGACGTGCGCAGAGGAAAGGCATCATGGACATGATCAACATGTAGGTGTATAACTTATAAGTGAGCTAGGGCACATCATACACACACATATGCGCATGTTCAAATAGGAGATCAACCTGATAAGCATTCGCCGGCGTTGGGTAATCCTGAAATAAAGATTTGAACTCGGATGGTCAGCCAATATAGTTATGATGAAGAAAGGAAAAGGACAAAATGTTACGAGTTATGACAAACTGTCCACCAACTGATCTTAGGTTGTTGGTTTGCGCCTTGGAGAAGTGTTGGAGCTAGGTGTCAGGTCGCTGAATGTCTCAGTACTCCTTGTCAGTTTTGTGCCATTTTGTCACACTTGATTGACTGTATAAGATCTGGTTACGTTGGTGGACAGTTTGTCATAACTCGTAACATTTTGTCCTTTTCCTTTCTTCATCATGAAATAAAGAGATTAATATTATCAGTCAAGTGGTGTGCTTCACTGTCCGAAGAGTGCTCAATTCGCATGTAGGGCAGAGCCTTGTACACAAGAGAGAGTTTGGAAGCTTTGCTACAACTCTGAGTTTCACGTATTTCTACGATCATCAGGCAACTGATGGATCCAAAACGGGCAGCCAGAACATAAGGGGAGCAAGGTGGGAAATTCTGAGGGGTGTCATAGGCGACGCGTATCATAGCGCAAGAGTCAGGTGCAGGCGTGAAGTTGCCAAGTCTTCAGACTTGGGGCTATGCAGCAGTAGTTCCGGCATGAATGATATAGAATAGAGCTGGGGACAAATGCCAAATCCACACATGCCCACACCACTCCACAAACTTACACCCACACTCTCTCCCTTTTCTCACATACACATAAACTCACACGCACGTCCGCACACATTCTCTAAATCTCTCTCGCACACATACCTCAGACCTCAGACCTGCCCATCGCGGAAGCGATGATAGCGAACAGCTATGTTACGCATAGCAACTTGTGCTCACACACACACACACACACACACACACACACACACACACACACACACACACACACACACACACATTCATTCTCTATATCTCACACATGCACACACACGCACGCACACATTCATTCTCTATATCTCTCTCTCTCACACACACACACACACATTCTCCAAATCTAGCACACACATTCTCTGTGTGTGTGTGAGAGAGAGAGAGACAGATTGTTTGTGTGAGATTTAGAGAATGTGTGTGTGTACGTAAGATTTAGAGAATGTGTGTGTGAGATTTGGAGAATGTGTGTGTGTGTGTGTGTGTGTGTGTGTGTGTGTGTGTGTGTGTGTGTGAGATATAGAGAATGAATGTGTGTGTGCGTGTGTGCGCATGTGTGAGATTATAGAGAATGAATGTGTGTGTGTGTGTGTGCGTGTGTGTGTGTGTGAGACAGAGAGAGAGATTTAGAGAATGTGTGTGCGGACGCGCGTGTGAGTGCATGTGTATGTGAGAAAAGGGAGAGAGTGTGGGTGTATGTTTGTGTAGTGGTGTGGGCATGTGTGGATTTGGCATTTGTCCCCAGCTCTATTCTATATCATTCATGCCGGAACAACTGCTGCATAGCCCCAAGTCTGAAGACTTGGCAACTTCACGCCTGCACCTGACTCTTGCGCTATGATACGTGTCGCCTTTGACACCCCTCATAATTTCCCACCTTGCTCCCCCTTATGTTCTGGCTGCCCGTTTTGGATCCATCAGTTGCCTGATGATCGTAGAAATACGTGAAACTCAGAGTTGTAGCAAAGCTACCAAACTCTCTCTTGTATTAATATTATTAAAGAGACTATTACCTGGTGCTTGGCTGACTGCCACGCAATTTTTCCTCTCCTCTCCTCCACTCTTCCTCTCTTCCTCTCTACTAGTTACCCTCTTTCTCCCCTTCTTTTCCTTTCTAGTCTCTCCCTGTCCTCTCTTCTCTTCTCTTCTCTCTCCTTTTCTCCTCTTGTCAACGTTCTTGAGCAGCGGATATGGCGAGCAGCCGTAATTTATCGTTATTGAATTTGTTCAAATTAGCGACGTTCAATGTTCGAGGCCTAACGTCGAACGTGAAGCAGCAGCAACTGGCGACTGACATGGATGCCTATGGCGTAGACTTCTGCAGCCTTCAAGAGCTCAAGACCACCGAAGCATTCGACAGGAAAATACACGCGGGCCAAAAAACTTTCCGCTTGATCAGCTTCGGCCAAGAATCTGGAAAGCATGGCGGCCTTGGATTCGTTATCTCTCCAAGAATCGAACCATTCCTGCTACATCATAAGAAGTTAACAGACAGAGTCGGCTTCGCGGACTTCAAGTTCCCTCGGGCCCACGGTCGCGACACTCTCGATGTGCGTATTATTTCTGCATACGGCCCAACAACCCCTCTCGCGGAGAAAAACCCAGACATCCGAGACCAATTTTACGATAGTCTGTCGAGTGCATGGACCAGCGTGAAGAAACGAGCCATTGTTCTGTACGCAGGTGACTTCAACAGTAAAGTTGGAAATGGGACGGCACCCTGTGTTGGTCAGTACGCTAAGGGCAAACGGAACGACAATGGCGAGGCCCTGGTTCAATGGGCGACGTCCAGGAGTCTGGCGTTGGCGAACACACTCTTTCGCTATTCACAGCGCTACAGAACGACGTGGACTGGATATGTCAGAGACGGACCGTGCACTAAGCCTATCTACAATATGATTGACTACATCATCGTACCGGAACATTGCAAATCCCTTGTCCGACGAGCACGCTCATATGGTGGCACCATGGTGTGCAGTGATCACAAACTTGTGATCAGCGATCTCCGACTCGATTCATTCTTCAAAGTGTTCAGAGCGTCGAAGAAGCAGGAACCACCCGTTGCCATAGGGAGACTGCATGACAGCACCGTGAGGCGGCAGTATGTGGACGCACTGAGTGCGAGTGACTGCATGGAGCAAGTCGCAGCGAACACAGCAGACCTCTCGGTGGCGTGGCAAACAGTCACAGAAATAGTGAAGGAAAAGGCAAAATCCGTTCTTGGAACAATGGTGAAAACGCGTCGGGGACTCGTCAATCCAGACCCACAGATCCAACGGTTGTCGATGCAGCAGAGACTACTGCGTCTACGGTTGGAGGACGGCAGTTTGGACGATGAAGGCAAACGCAGAGCTAGAGAAGAGAGGAACAGGATTTCCCACCAAATACGACGCAGGTGCTTGGACAACGCCAACTCCCAGCTGGATAGAGCAGCAGAAGCTATTGAGCGCGCTCCCGACAGCATCAAAATGTACCAAGCAACATCAGTCTTCCGCAGAGAAAAGCAAAAGAAAATCATTGTGGAGTCTGTGGACGGATTAGTCCTTGATCGAGACGTCGACAGAGCTGACCGCGTCCGTGACCACTTCAGCACACTGTTGTGCAATCCCACACCAACAAACCATGTGACGACACCGGAAGGCTTGGCGACGCCACTGTCAAACCCAGTAGCAGTACATGAAATGGAAGCTGCACTGTCAAGAATGAACAACCAGAAAGCTGCAGGACCTGACGGAGTGCCAGCGGAGCTGCTGAAATATGGAAAAAGGATACTTGTCACCCTTGATCGTCGGACTCATAAACACAGCTGTTACCAATAACCAAGACATATCGCAAGTCATTGGAGCTGGCATATTAGTACCACTAGCAAAGCCAGGAAAACCCAGAGGTCCAGTAACAAGCCTAAGACCAGTTGTTCTCCTCAATACCATCAGAAAGGCTCTATCTCTGGTTGTACTCAAAAGAATAGCCCCAGCCGTCGATGGACACCTTGGCGCGATACAATCAGGTTTCAGAAGAGGCAGGAGCACGGCAGACGTCGTATGGACACAGCGTTGGATGAGTGCTAAGACACAGAGGCATCCATTCACCTACCACATGCTGGGAATCGACATGAGTCGTGCTTTTGACACTATCAACAGGCAGCGGCTATTGGAAGTGATGGATGGAGTAGTTGGCCCAGACGAACGCAAACTCTTGCGACTGCTCCTGGAGAGAACTACCCTCGTGGTCCGTGTTGGACAGGTGACCTCAGAGTCGTTCAGTAACACAGTTGGAACACCACAGGGCGATGGCCTAAGCCCAGTCCTGTTCACCTGTTATCTCGAAGCGGCCCTGAGGGATGTCCTGTCCCATCTGCCACCCCGTCCAGAAAGCGATAGACTACTACCCCATGAGAGCAGGTATGCTGACGATGTCAACTACTACAGCACAAGTCTAGATTGGTTACGAGCTGCACTGCCGATCATTGCGAAGGTCCTTGAATCCTGGTCGCTGTACGTAAACACCCAGAAGACGGAATGGGTCACAATATCGTCAACAACAGAAAATTGGAAAACAGTAAAGCAGCTGGGATCACTCATGGCAACTAACGAAGACATCCAAAGGCGAAAGCAGCGGGCAACGATTGCCTTCAAGAACATGTACACTCTGTGGCTGCGGAGGGAGCATGTCTCAGAAGCTCGCAGAGTTCGCCTCTACAACGCATATGTTCTGCCGACCCTATTGTACAATTGCTGTACGTGGGGATCAACAAAGGCAGTCAGTGACAAGCTGGACGTGTTCCACAGGCAACAGCTTCGCTCGGTACTGGGCATACATTACCCCAATCGTATCACAAACATCGAGTTATACCGGAGATGTCAGAGCCAGCCCATCTCCGAGGAAGTCCACAGACGAAGAATGACCATGCTGGGACATGTCCTACGCCTACCCGAAGACACACCACCGCAACAAGCCATGGCACTCTACTTCAATCCACCGAACACAGCCAAGCCAGGAAGACCTCTGACTACTTTAGTCACCCAGATCCAGCAAGACTGCGTCCACAGACAAACGCCACTCAAGAGGAGCCCGCATCTGCAGAGCCTCCCGCAGAAGGCATCCGACAGGCAAGTGTGGAAGGCCTTCGTAAAAACGCACAGTGAACACTGACGAAACAGAAGTTGCCCATCCTTCTCAGTGCTATTTGCTTATTGTCGATTTGTAAACCGTACCTTGCAGTCCATGTCTTCCCTTGTCATCATCATAATAGTATAGTTTTGTCTCTCTCCTTCTATTGCTCAGGAACACAGAGGCGGAAAGAGGCTGGTCCTCAAGTACGCGAAACTGTTCATAATAAAGAGACTATTATCATACTCGGGAGAAGGAAGTTGAATACACATCTACAGCTGTACTTACATTGTATGGTGAATACACCACTACAGCTGTACTTACATTGTATGGTGAATACACCACTGCAGCTGTACTTACATTGTATGGTGAATACACCACTGCAGCTGTACTTACATTGTATGGTGAATACACCACTACAGCTGTACTTACATTGTATGGTGAATACATCACTGCAGCTATACTTACATTGTATGGTGAATACACCACTACAGCTGTACTTACATTGTATGGTGAATACACCACTGCAGCTGTACTTACATTGTATGGTGAATACACCACTGCAGCTGTACTTACATTGTATGGTGAATACACCACTGCAGCTGTACTTACATTGTATGGTGAATACACCACTGCAGCTATACTTACATTGTATGGTGAATACACCACTACAGCTGTACTTACATTGTATGGTGAATACACCACTGCAGCTGTACTTACATTGTATGGTGAATACACTACTGCAGCTGTACGTACATTGTATGGTGAATACACCACTGCAGCTGTACTTACATTGTATGGTGAACACACCACTACAGCTGTACTTACATTCTATGGTGAATACACTACTGCAGCTGTACTTACATTGTATGGTGAATACATCACTGCAGCTGTACTTACATTGTATGGTGAATACACTACTGCAGCTGTACTTACATTGTATGGTGAATACATCACTGCAGCTGTACTTACATTGTATGGTGAATACATCACTGCAGCTGTACTTACATTGTATGTTTTTTTTTTTTTTTTACGGGGTAACGGCCTCTTTTAGGGGCAAAATAAAGTCATGTAGACGTGAAAAAATTGAGATACCATGAAAGTTAAAATAGAATTTTATTCAAGTACAAAACATTGGGAAACTCCAAGAAATTCCACGTAAAACGGACGGAATTCAGTTTTCAATGGCCGATGCCTACACCAGCACCATCCTGCGTCGACAGGCCTGTCAGGCGCCTTCTAGACCCGCGTAGCCGGAGGTCGACTGCATGGATCACTGCAAATTGGCTGCGAACTCGCACCCAAGCCATGATGATAGAAAATGGCTTGTCCCACTTGAGGGCGAGGCGACCAGCAAGTCGCTTCTGATAGCTGGCGTATTCGCGATGTAGCACCCCATCCGTGGAACAAACCAGTGGTGTGAACGACCCACGGAGGTCCTCGGAGGCCTGACGATACTTCTTTTTCTTCGCGTTAGCAGCGCGGTTGGAAGTAGCTTCCCAGGATGAATGGGAGTAACTGGGTGCGTTGGCATCAATGATGCGATTATCAAAAAACGCCACCCTGTTATCCTCCCACACACCCCGGGCAAGCCAATCTGCCCGAAGAGCAGGCTGCCCCGTCCGATCACCCTCCGGCACCATGATCGGCTCGACGACAACACCACCGAATGCCATATCAGCTAGCTTTGCATCGCTATCACGCAGATCATTGTGGCCTCGCTTGATAAGTCCACCTTTCGGGCAGTCAAGGCCATGCTGGAGAGAGAAAGGCTTCCCGCAACCATCACATTGCGCTGGCAGGGCAAGCGGCTGCCAACCATAGCGGATGGCAAGTTGATCGCGGAATTCTGTACTCGACAGATCATATCCCTGGCGCTTCAGGGGCAACACCGTAAGCCATCCGGAGGCATTTCCCCGTACGATGCGGGAGAGGGTGCGCTCCTCAAGCTGTGGCAGGTCACTGAGAATTGATTGGCTGATTTCAGCGGAAATCACATCTCGTTCCCTGCTGATTTGGCTTGTGATGCGGCGACAGTGAGCGCTGTGGTCATTTACGTTTACGGGGTTACCAGATTGGATTGAGTTGCGCAGGATGTCAGTAGCGTTTCTCGAATTCTGGTAAGCCTGGGGTGCTGTGTGGACAGGATCGGCCAAAGCCAAGCCACCATACTTGACTGGCAGGGTGAGGAGCTGGTGTTCCCGAGGAAGAACCTCCCGCCCAAGGATGGCTGGGGCAAATTGCTCCAGGATGACGTCTCGAAGCGGAGAAAACTCCTCCTCAAGACCCTGGACAACACGCTGCAGGTATGACCACTCACATGAGAGCGAGCGATTCAACGCACAATACGCCGACTGGGGGTATTTCCTGGCAGCAGCGGCAAGGCAATTGACACTGCTCACCCACGTCTCCACTCTCTCCTTGACAAACGATCTCACTCCGTCAGGTTCACCGATACAGCCTCCTAGGAAACGGGCGGATGTAGCTACTTGGATGTTCAGATCCCCAAAGATATCATTAGCTTGCTGAACGAGATCCGGGGAAACAATAATGATACTCTTTGTCGGCTCAACTTGGTAGCCGAAAGCTTCACCCTGATCGATAAGGCGGTCTAGCCACTTCCTGATGTTGCGCAACCGTCCCGCACAAGAAGAATCATCAGCGTACCAGTTTTGGGTGTGCTGGCTGGGTTCCTTCAAACTCTCAATCAGAGGGTGCAGACCAATGGCATACATTAGCATAGCCAGGGGACATCCCTGAGTAGTACCTTCCCGGCTGAGAAGGGTATGGACCTCGGATGTACAGGAACCTTTCAAGATGATCACAGCGTACCCACGGTAGGCGTTGAATAGAAACCTTGCGCATCTCGGCCAGAGCACCCGGCAGTTCCATAGGGCCGCGGGACGGCTTAGCGAGTTAAATGCATTAGCTGCATCGACAAGAAGGAGTCCTTCAGTGTCATCCTCGGTGAAAACGTCGCTCATAGCATGAACAGCTGCCTCAATCCCAGCTTTTGCACCCGAGCATAGCTGGTCAGCCCCACAGACCTCCTGGACATCAATTCCCGTAGCAAGGGCCATGGCCTTTGCCTCAATGCGCTGCCTGCATTCACCCACTCCGATTGGCCGCACTCCTGGTAGCTTGTCCAGTGCAATGCCTCTCCGAGCAAGGAATGCTCGCATGTTGCACCAGGGCACGATTCCATTTGCATGTCGACGGGTTGAGGCGGCCACAGCTTCCCGCAGGCGACTGCTGGCGTTGCCATGGGATAGCAAGAACGTTCTCCACTGCTCAGAGTTGGTCCCACTGGGACCGGCACTGCCGAAGAGTCGACGGGCCACCTGTTCAATCATTGCACCAGTGATATGAACATCCTCCAGTAGGGGCAGATCCTCGCACTCAAGGAATGCTCTTGGATCGGCGGGTTGTTGCTCCGGGTGTTTCTCTTGCAGCACATCGTACACGGTCCTACCAAGTGGGCCAGCCTTGCCTTGAGCCTCACCACCAGGGTCCAGTACACCTCCACCACATCGATCTGTGATTAGACGCACCGCGGATCTGACCCTGCCTTCGAGCATAAGACGGTTGAAGGTCCGCTCTATTTGCTCTGGCGACATAGGACACATGCTGGTCAGCAGCTGAGTATCACACCGTTGAGCCTCACGCAGTAGTTCAGAGAGGTGACCATTCTCCCACATATCCATCCGTC